AAGATTTATACTGTATCTTTGACTTACAATTTATTTAAAAAGACATTGTATGATATCTTCTCCTAGTGTTAGAAACTTTAAAAAGTATATTTCCATTCTCTGTTGACTTAAAAAAAGAGGTTTGTACCTATGAAAATAAATAAATAGAAAAATAAATTAAAAAAATGTTAAACTTTCAAAAACATCTTAAGACAATATATGCCTATGTAGTCATTTAGACTATGATGACAAGACATTAGAGGGGTAGAACTAAATGAGGTAGAGGCTCTAGTTCAGGAAAGACAGATAAACCACAGGAGCAATGGACACAGTGAAAAGAGGGGAGAGCCATCCTGAAACTCTTGAGTCAACTTCTTTGAATGAGGTGGGATGAAAATTAGGAATGCGAGCTTCAGGGTGAGTCATTCATCCATTCATTCACTCACTCATTTATTAAATGTTGAGTACTTTCCATAGCAGAGATGCTCTTCTGGGCTCTGAGGATTCCACCACAACCTATACCATGAGTGCTCCCCGCGTCTTCAGATTTCTAGGATGAGTTGACAGGCTTTCACTTTGGCTGGCCCTCTGTGAGGAGATATATATTTTTTGGTTTTCATCCACCGTTCTTGCCTCACAACACCCATAGTCTTTTCTGGAATGACTGAAACAATAAGGTCATATGACGGGGGGCATCTGTGTTTGGTTCCTAAAGCAACTTCAGAACCACTGTAAAGCAAGAAAAGTGAAAGAACCTTTTGCTATAACATGGGGGTTCTGTAGGCCTTGGAGGCAGACCTCAGAAAGACAGATGTCTCTATGGCCTTCTCCTACTCTCCTTCACTTGCCCTTTTTTTTTCTTCTCTCTGAGGCAAGTCAGAAAAACTAATTTTTCTTCTCCAAGGCAAGTCACAGAACTAAAAATATACTCACATCTTCTCCCTACCTTTCAGACTTGTGTCTGGCAGTATTCTCTGTTGTCTGCTAGCAGAAGGATTCCATCTCAGAGCAGGTTCTAACTTGTATCTGGGAAGAAGGAATACTGCACAAAGATGCCAAGAAGAATCTGTACAGACAGGCCTCCTGACCTCCCCAGTGTTAGCGTTAGGTCATGCTCTTCTTGAACATTTGTACACTTTTGCCATGCTTTAATCATGCCTGTGTAGTAAAGTCTCTCTAAAAACCAAGATCAGAAGACAAGTAGCCTCTAGACATCTAAATACATGAGTAGTCCTAGATGATGCTGTCCCAGAGAAGGGCCCAAAAGTTCTGCACCTTCCCATAGCCTTGCCCTATATTGCATCTCTTCATCATATGTTTTTACTATCCTTTATAACAAAACCATAAATGTAAGTGTTTTGCGAGATCTGTAGCCACTTGGCTAATTAATCAAATCCAGGAAGATCATGAAAACTCAGATACTTAGCTGGTCCATTAGATGCACAGGTAAAACAACCTGGAGCTTGTGATTAGCATATGAAATGGGGGCTTCAGGAAAAGGCAGCCTGGGGCACTGAACCCCCAACCTGTGGGATCTGATACTGTCTCCAAATAGATAGTGTCAAAATTGAATTGTTCACCGCTGAATTAATTGCTTGCCTGGTCTGAGTGTGTATGCATGTGGGTGAGAACCTCTGTTTATTTGGTGTTAATTGTGTTCTATTTTTAGAGGCTGTAGTAAGAGACACTGAGTTTTAATGCATTTTTTTGTTATATCCTCAGACTTTCCACACTACCACCAGAATGATTTTTCCCAAATTCAAACTGAAGTAAGATGGAATCACCTTCTGAACACCTATGAGTAGATTTGAGTCATCTAGTGTGGATTTGGCATAGTACATAAGATCCTTTTTTTATTTGATCACCTGTCTTCTTAAATTCATCTCTTGCTACTCCCTCAACTGTAGACCTTGGTCCCCTATAGACCAAACTGGTAAATGCAAATTATCAGGTGACCCTAGATAAGCAATTTCCTCATGATAAGATGCTCCTGGTCAGGCACGGTGGCACACTCCTGTAATCCCAGCACTCAAAAATAAGAGGAAGGAGGATCCTTGTGAGTTTGAGGCCAGCCTGGGCTACAAAGTGAGCTCAAGGCCAGCCTGAGCTACAGAGTGAGACTGTTGTCTCAAAAGAAAAAAAATGCCTTTGGCTCCCCAATGAACCTTTTATGGCCAACTTGAATTCCTAAAATATAGGATACTGCTAAAATTTTGTGACATCTACATGCAATATTTAATATATTAATTTAGTTAAATATAGTTTACATTAAAGTTACACAACATTTTAATTTGGAAATATTGATTCGTTTTTTATGACCAAGATTAAACTCAGGGACATCTCATGCTAATATGTTCTCTACCACTGAACTACACTCCCAGTTCCCCTGCCCCTGCCCCTGCATATTGATTTTTCCTGTCTCTCAGACTTCATGAAGTAATTTTATGCCAACACTTCATTGGCAGCTCTGATATCAACGTCTGTTGTCTTCATCATCACTAGAGCCACTTTTTGAGTCACAGAAAACAGCTTTTCCGAGCATATCATCTTCATAGCTTTCTTCAGTGTTGGTAATATAGAACTCTTTGAAACTGTGAATGATGCAGCCACAGGCAAGGAATAATACTAAAAGTCTCTCTCAACTAACTTCATCCTTCTCAGATGGTAATTTATTTTACTTGAACTAGCCAGAAGAAGATCACATCATAAAATAAGCCACTTTGGAAAAAAAAAATCGATGTAAGATGATCCTTTTCTGAAACATAACGTGGGGAGGGACCTCTCTTTACACTTGGCCCTGGTTACCCCATTTCCCTCCACTGCCCCAAGCCCCTCCTCCCAGTCTTTGCAAGCATTCTTCTCCTCCCACATCTGCTGCCTACCACAGTGCATCCTCCCGGGGGCTGCTACTGTGCTCCCCAAATCAGAAAGCTGCTTCCTTTGTGTGTCTCCCAAAGGTGCAGGGCCCTCGAGGGCAGAGGGCCTTGTCCCCAGAGTCCTCAGCACTCATGACAGTGTCCAGTACCTAGCTCTAGTCCTTAAAACCTGAAGTGGGACACTAAGAGTGAAGCAACTGGCAAGGTCACCAAAGGATTTATTATGAAAATCGAGGATATCCTGAGAGTGAAATGGAGCTTGGGGTCAGGGTGCTGTGTAAGTGTAGAGCAGAACTGTCCTGGGTAAACTGTCAAGGTATGCTCACCTACAATAAAGTGACAAGCAGACACACCCTAAAGTCCCCAGTCCCCAACAATACTCCTAGATCAATATTTTACTCTTAATGGATCTAATTCTCTTCCTATTCATCTCTTCTTTCCCATGTTTCTTCCCTTCTGTTTTCCTTCTCTCTTTGCTCAGCAAAAAGTTACAAGGCATCACGGTAGCTGCATCTAATTCCAGCTCTCTGAGAGGCCAAGGCAGGAGGACCACAAATTTAAGCCCAGGCTGGGCTCATACTTAGCAACTTAGCTAAAGCCTATCTTTAAATAAAACACAATTTTAAGAAAGCATTAGAATACAGTTCAGTGTGAAGGCCCTGGATTTAATTTCAAATAGCACAAACAAATTGCACAAAATTGCTAAAACCACAGCAAAACCACAACCCTACAATCTCATTCTCCACTTTTCAGGTAATTTAAAGATGAAGAAATTGAACGACTCTCATTGTGGAGTAGGTACACTGCAAGGGAGGGTCTAGGAGAAGTGTCAGAGCTACAGTTTTTATGAGGGATTAAGAGTTCCAGACTTTTCTACTTCTCTCTTTTAAGAGTATTAGTGACTCAGAGAAATGTTCAGTAAGGAAAAATTCTTTGAATGATACAAACATTTCTTCTTAGGCTTCACCCTGAAACCCAGACCCCACCTCAGGCACATTTAAGACAGGATGAGAATTTTGCTAGTGGAATCATCACATCACGCAGGAAAGAAAAGCTGGTTATGCTGAGAAGGTTCTCGCGGGTCAGTGGAAGCTGTGCATCATGGTGGTTAATGCGTGTGTGACTTATCCGAAGACTCTAAACATTTATATGCTGTAATCTCCATCATTTTATGTGTTAAATGGGAGTCATATCAGACCTACCTAATACTCTCATTGTGGAAGTTAAGTGAGATAGTATATTCAGCTGAGAGAATATATTTAGCACTGTGTCAAGCACATAATAAGCACTCAGCATGGGCTACTGCTTTCTATGGACACCGGCAAGAGTTACAATGGCACCCGTTTTGTCTGTGTGGGAATGGTTAGGCCAGCTTAGCAACAGTGCAGAATTTGAGTTCCTGATAAGCCTCTGCCTCTAGTAGCTGTGGCTCCCAGCAAGTCTTTGGACTTCAGTACTGTGAAGATGCTGACATCTGGCTTCCATTCTCTGTTTCCCTGCCACAGACCACTCCAGAGCTTCCCAGTTGTCTGACTCTTCCTCCTCATGGCTGAGGCATCACCTCAGCACCTGTAACTGAAAAGAGAAGATGTTTGTTCTGGCTCACGGGTTTTAGATGATTCAGTCCATGGTCAGTTGGCTCCCATGCAGGGATGGCTCGGTGAGAGGATCTGGTGGAGAAAGGCTACTCATTCTGTGGCAACCTGGAAGTAGAGAATGGAGGCCTCCAGCTGCGGCTTGATTAGTGGATTTCTCCAGTAAAGAGAAGAGCACTCTCCTGATCCAACCACCTTCCAAGCCCTGTCTCTAAACACACAAAGCTTTGGGAGCCAGTGGAGATCTAAGTGCTAACATGGTCTAAAACAATAGTGATGCCTAAGGAGAGTCACATGGAGAGAAAACATTCTCTCAGGCTTTCACAGAGAGCACATTGGCCAAGCAATGGCCGTGTCTCATCCACATGGCTGACAC